TTTCAGCACCACGACGGAATTCCTGCTTGATTTGATGTTTCAGAAGTTTCAGCTCATAGGGATCATCCATTGGGTCTTCATCTGCTTTTACATAGGAATGCAGTCTAGAAGAAGTCTGTAAAGGTGCCAGAAAATCTGTAACTTCTTGAGTTCTGCGTGCCTCTGTTGTTTGAAGGAGGCGGTCAGTTTTTGTCAGATCCTTATCATGAAGGCTAAATGCAGTGCTCAGGGCTGCTGTACCCTTAGTAAGTTCACCAATATCATCAATTAAGAGATAATTCCGTGGTGTGTGATGTTCTATATCTGCATAGAAAGAATCTGCTGATATGCTTGAAATTGGACTGCCTGCTATGCTGTTTCTTTCCTCTAAACCTATTCTTAAGTCTAAACTATTATACTTACTACCAAGGTGGGAAACCGCATAAGTATTCTCAGTGGAAACCGGTGCTATCATCAGGGGTTGGTTTCGAATGACCTCATAATTAGAGGTTATTTTAGGTTCCAAATACAATGTAGATTGCCGTGGCTTTTGCTGTATCACCATCATCTGGGATGGGAGTTGATATGAAGGCTGTGGAGTCGGTGGAGGCTGTGTTTGTGGTGTGAAGGACATTGTCGCCACAGTTTGGAAGGTGGGTTGGGTCTGATATGGGGAAACCTGCTGATGGTATAAAGGCTGCTGTTGGTAAGGAGACTGTTGGGTATACTGAGTTGGTGCTTGTGTAGGAAGAGCAGGAGAGGTGAACTGATACTGGGTGTAAGGACTTGTTGGTGGAACTAACTGAGATTCTGGCTGTGTTTGGGGGGGCATAAATTGGTTGAATTCAGTTTGGGGTGCAGTTCTTGGTCTTTCCAAACCATGCTGACTTTCTATTCGGGTTGGCCTAGTGCTACTTACTTCACTATCAGACATATAATCACGGTCCTCAGCTACTCCCTGGAGGTAGGCTCTCTCTCTCTTTTCTCTTTCCTTTAAAAGCGCTTCTTTTCTTCTGTTGATTCCCATTTCCAAGTACCGTAACTTTGCGTCAATCTCTTTTTCTTCCTCATCCAATTCAGCTTGCTTCTTCCTGAGCTTTGCTGATTCCCTTTCCACAAGGTCAAGTTCTCTATCTATATCCTGGAGGATTTTGGCTCTTGCCATTGTATTAGTTCTGCAGATTCTTCTTCGCGAAACGGAACCCATGGTGCTATATGCTGATGGGGTCCCTGAGGAAGTTTCTTCAGGAGGTGGATTTGGTAATGTCCTCTTTACTTTCTTCTGGGTGCCGGAAGCTGTCATGGTCTGAGAACCTTTGGTCTACAATTGAAAAGAAATGGGGAATTGATCAGAAAACTGAAGAAAAAATTCATAACTGGCATTTAATAAAAAATTTCCTTTCATTTATTTGACAACTATGGCTACAATTATAAAATTCTTCATTCTTTATCTGGTTTCCTCATTCTTCTTCATTTATCTTAATTTTCATTAAATGTAACTGATTGAAGCATAATACTCCTTTTTATATCTTTGAGTGTAGATATGTACCATTATATTATCTACAAGATAAAAATGTTACCATGTGAAGTTTATGTAGGTTTCATTTTTAAAAGGTGATATTTGTAATAACATTTAAATTGAAGCCATATGTATGTATTTGTCTGAAAAATTCAAGATGTTAAATATGTTTGTTAGCCGTTCTAAAATAAACTATATTTGAGTGAAAATGCAAGTTTTTTCACTCAAAATACGTGTGAATTTGAAATGGTGAAAATAAATTTAGAATGCTGCATTTACTTTGAGCTCTCCTAGTAATAAGATCCTGCTAAATGAATAGTTCAAAACATTGAAAACATGTGATAAGAAATTCCTTTATGAGAAATAAGTATAATATTAGCATCTCATATTTATTTGCCAATCTAGGATTTCAAAATGCTTTTTAATAATGTCATTTAATCTTCAGGACAACCCTCAGAGGAAGACAATATAGTAGTTATTATCCCCATTTTATAGATGAAGCATGTCTTGGAGATGGTAAATGATTTACCCAAGACCATATAATCACTAAGTGGAAGCAAACCTAGTAAGGAGCAGCTAGGTGGCACAATGGATAGAGCAGTGGGCTTGGAATCAGGAAAACTAATCTGCCTAAGTTCAAATCTTGCCTCAGATACTTGCTAGCTGTGTGACTGAGAATAAGTCACTCAACCCTGTTTTGCTTCTAGTTTCCTCATCTATAAAATGAGCTAGAGAAAGAAAAGGAAAACCACTCCAGCAACTTTGCCAAGAAAACCCCAAATGTGATCATGAAAATTTAGAGATGACTGAACAATAGTTGTCAGAGCCTGAGGTCTGAGTCCCTAACCAGTGCTCTGCCACCTTGTTTTCCCATCTGATAAATAAATGGTCAGCTCTAATGTTTATGAAGTTTTGCTTGGGAAGATATAAATATCCTAGTGGTTTTTATATTTGTACAGTGCTGCCACTATAAGAAACTCGAGTTGCCATATGTAAAACTTTTAATTAGGAATATTTTAAAATAGCAATATCAATTATTACTGAAATAAGGAAAGGAAGAGGAAGACTAAACAATAAGGAAGAGAGTGAAGGGAGCTGGAAGAATAACTAATTATAAACTGCAATATATGGTGATGAATTCATATGTGAAACAAATGACCCTTAGACTAAATTCTACTTTCCAAAATTACTTAAGCCAACATTCAATAACAGTGACTCAGCTATACATACTTGCAATTGAAAGAGTGAAGAGATATGTCACCTGTAATTGTTAAAGTATTATAAACAAGAGAGAGTGCTCAGTCTATGGCAATGAGGAATTTTCTAATGAAAGGAAAATCAGGAAAGGCCAAATCATAAAAATGGCTGTACAAGCTGGAAATATATTTACAGATCTATTAAGACAAATTCATAAATAATACACCTGAAATAATCCATACATTACTTAAGGGTTAAAGACATATTTGTGACATATCCCTTACTTGTTTCCCTCTCTTTCTCTAATAAACCAACTGACTGAACACTCACTATATGCAATGGGATCACACTAGGCCTCATAAGGGACATAATGATAAAAGAACATAGTCTCTGCCCTTTAGAGCCATTTGTAATCAAGTAATTATTATGGAGGATTAAGTGAGAGATGTTACTTACAAGCGCACCTAACACAGTTCCTATGGCTATTAGTCTGATAGAATATCAGATGTCAACAAGCATTTACTAAGCACCTACCATATGCCAGGTACTGTACTAAACACTGGGGATGCAAAGAATGGTTAAAAACAAAAACAGTCCCTGCCTTTAAGGAGTTCATAATCTAATTAGTGTTGCACAATATTAATATGTAACCATCCCCTTCCCCAAACACAGACACATATATACACTCACAACAGAAATAAATGCTAATCATAGTGAAGTTGTTTGTGAGTATTTGTATTTAAGAAATGGATCATGCTGATCCAAACAATTGGAGAGCAATTTGGAACTATGCCCAAAGGGCCATAAAAATGTGCATCCCCTTAGACCCAGCAAGAGTACCTCTAGGGTTGTATCCCAAAGAGATCATACAAATGGGAAAAGGACCCATATGTACACAAATATTTATAGTAGTTCTTTTTGTGGTGGCAAAGAATTGGAAATTAAGGAGATGCCCATCAATTGAGGAATGTATATGAATGTAATGGAATACTATTGTGCTATAAGAAATGATGAGTAGAAGTACTTCAGAAAAACCTGTAACGACTTGTGTTGAGTGAAGTAGGCAAAACCAGGAGAACACTGTACCCAGTAACAACCACATTATGTGATGACTAACTTTAATAGACTTAGCTCTTCTCAGCAATGCAAAGATCTAAGACATTTCCAAAAGACTCATGATGGAAAATGCTATCCACATCCAGAGAAAGAACTATGGAATCTGAATGCAGATTGAAGCATACTATTTTCTTCTGTTTCATTTTGTTTCTTCTTTCTTGTGGTTCATCCAATTGGTTCTAATTCTTCTTTACAACATGACCAATATGAAAATATGTTTAATAAGAATGTATATGTAGAGCCTATATCAGATTGCATGCCATCTTGGGGGGGGGAGTGGGAAGGGAGAGAATATTTAAAACTCAAAAGATAATGGAAGTGAATGTTGAAAACTAAAAGGAAATAAATTAATAAAAAAAGAAATAGATTATGAGTCATTTGAGGATTCTGGATTTTAATTGCCATTTAGAAGAATAGCATTGAACAGTGGGAGGAAGAAACCTATTCCAAAGAAATGGAGTACTATATTTAAAGAGAAGGGAAAATCAAATATAATCCATAGAAAAACCCTTGAAAATGGTATCATATTATAACTCTCAATTTTTCCTTTTTCTTGTTTCAGAGTAAAGAAAGATTACTCAAATCCTCAAAGACTGGTCAACTTAAGCTCAGTAACTTGGGAAACTGCTAACAGAAGTCATCAGACAATAAACTACAATGATCATAGAGATGGACAGTGAAAGGCAGACAGTAGAAATCAATGTGGTTTTGTAAATAGAAAATCATGACAGCCCAATTTAATTTCCTGCAATGATAATGCAAAAGGCCATGCAGATAAGGAGAAAGTAATAGATGTAATCTAGCTGGCCTTTAGCAAGCCTTTTTATTCTGCCCTGTGTGACATTCCCATCAACAAGTTAAGAAGATATGGTCTCAGTCACATAAATGTTAAGTGGTTGGGGAATTCCCTAAGGGATTTCATTAAAAAAAAAAAAAAGAACAGATTGTTATTCATGGTTCAGCATCAATGTGGAAAGTCATATGGACTGGAGATCCTCAGGGATAAGTCATTTCTTTGAATTAATTTAATATCTCTTGTATTTATTTGAATGATAGACTTATGTGTTCTCATTAACATTTAGTGAAAACATTATTTTGAGGCAATATAATCAATGACATAGGGAAATTAAAAACAAACAATCTTCCCTTAGAGAGCTTATAAGCCATGTGCAGAGATAACCCAAACAAACACATGAAATTCATTTAACACTTACTAGTAGAAACAGTTGTAGGAAGGGCACCTGACTAGATGTCCTAAGATCTGGGTTCTAACACTGTCTAAAAGCTGTAACCTTCACCTTACTTGAAGAAATTATGTAATTTGCCTTGGTTGTGAGCTACACTGAAGGACCTCAGAGGCCATGCAGTCATACTAGTCCAAGAAGAATCCTTATTAACATAAACTTGACATACAAAATAAACCAGTAATCCAAATTTTGCTTAAAGACTTCTAATGGAGAATCCATTGTCTCCTGAAACTGCTGATTGCATTTTTTTGGGTAGCTTTAACTGTTAGGAAACTTCTCTTCATATCTAGATGTATCTTTATTTATATTACATATATATATATAATATTATATTTTATATATATTTATATTTTATAAATTTATGTTTATATAAATTTATATAACATTACATAAGAAATTTATATCTTATATTTATATCTTCTCCTTGGGTCTAAATATAACAAACAGAATAATTATTCCACATTATAACCCTTCAAATATTTGCAGATATCTGTTATTCCCTATACAAAGTTTATCTTCAAGTAGCATGATTTTGATGCTCAACCTAGTAGCCTTACTTTGGATATTCTACTTCTTATCAATGTTATTCTAAAAAAGTGGTGCCTAAAACTTAACACATTATTCCATATGTGGTCTGACTAGGGGAGAATACAGAGGGACTATCACCTTCATCTTTCTGGGATGTATGCCTTTATTAATGCTGGATTCTTTATGATCTCATCAATCTATTGATTTATATTGATTGGGCAGATCCCTAAAATATTCAACTCTTTTTGAAGATGAACTGCTATCTTATCATGCCTGCTCCATCTTTGTCTTATGAATGTAACCCATGTTACAATTCTAGGTTAGTGTAGACCAGGATGAACTAGGGACACTATTTTTGACCCATGCTTCCACCCAGATTTTCCTCTGTAAATATAAGAATTTGACTTACATTTATATAAAGAAAAAAATGCCTTGAGCTCTCACAGAAATACTCTAAGGCTTTATCCATTAATGACTGGAACAATAACTAATACTTATTTGACACTTGTAAAATTTGCACATACTTTTTTTTTCCATTTGATTCTCAGACGTATCCTTACACAGTGTCACACGATTAGTAAGTATCTGAGCTAGATTTGAACTCTGATCTTCATGCCTCTAATCTTAGTTATTTAGCCACTATATCACCTAGCTGAATACATAAAAGATTCAAGTCTCAGCCCATAATAGTCAAGCCATCTCCTATTCCCAATC